AGGGAGGGATGCAAGGCTGCTGCAAGCCATAAGGAAGAACACATGATCAGAGTATGTTACTGATGACTGACTGTCCTGGCACGTTGACGATTGAATTGCCAAGAGCAGCGGTCGACAGCGCTATTGACGACGATAGTGATGAATGTGGGTGGTGCTGGGATTCGTAATGACGATGACGAAGTCGCCGTGAATGATGAAGTTGGTGACGGAGACGTCCCTTCTTCCTGATGAAGGTTACATTGTCACGATTGTCATGACCAACATAATGTGGATGCACCTGCTTCGGATGGCTATGAAGGTGATGCAGTTCCTGACGGTGATGCTGATGCTGAAAGCTATGACGATGACAGAGGCATGGGGAATTGAAGAGCAAGTGCTCGATCGTGGATCGTGGCTGCTGAAGATGGTCACGACGGAGACGATTACGGTTGCCGCGAAGTTGCCGAGTATGCTGAAGGGGGTGAGGCCGCCATGTTGCTGTTGGTTGTGCTGAGTGCTTGAAAGATCTAAGTGCCGGTCAGTTCGGTGTTCGTGTATGCATACATAGATCGACGTGCATGTACGCGTATGTATATATGTATCTGTACCTGCATCCCGTTTCCCCAGTCTGCAACCCTTCATCCCAAAGGGAATCCATAGGGTTCGGTTCGTGTCTCCGAGGCCTGCTTAATGCAACAGTCTCCGGCCCTCGTTACATGGGGATTCCTGCAGTTAAGGGCTCTGTAATACTAAACCGAAATAGTGGCAATAATGTCGGGGCCTTAATAATTTGCCTAGGGTTTTGGGGCCCATTACTATATTTCTAAGAAGGAACCCCCCCAAAAAAATATTGGTAATTATTTAGGCCCCTACATTAGTGATGGTTTGGGGTTTAGGGTTTAGAGCAGACTTGAAGCAAACAACTAAGGTTGCCGGAGTCGTACCGGTTTCAGCATAGAAGACGCCTTGATCAACGATGTGGGGGCTTCGGCTTCATGACCAGATTAGGCTTTTGTGGGGCTTTCGTACTGCAATTTTGTCCTGGAACCTCAAGGAACCCAAAACCCAAAACCCTAAACTTTCAGGAACACCACAGCTAGTTCACGACATTTTGTTGGACCTTTCTCTCCGTGTGAACAGAGGCCTGGTCTGGTGAAACAAGCCGACTGCCTTTTTGGGTGGGTGTAGTTTTTGTTTTGGGGGCCCGTTCGGAGAAGTGGGTGTAGGGCTTAGGGTTTTCGGGTTTAGGGCTTGGGGGTTTGAGGGTTTAGGGTTTTAAGGTTTAGGGTTTTGGGATTTAAGGTTTAGGGCTTGTAGCAGTTTAAAGTGAGACTTTGGAGCACAGGCTGGAGATGTTGGGACTGCACCTACGTCTCACCATTACGGACGACATATGACGACTGATGTTTAAGTTTTCAGGCTATGCTGAGGTTGCAACATTTGCCTTCATGACATGCTGAGCACAAGCAAGTCCTTAATGCCGCCAGGGCGATGGCTAAGCCGAAGGGCTGAAGAAGTCAGTATCCATCTAAAGCCTAAAGACCATGGCAGAAACTGCAGGCACCCCAATGCTCAGGGTTTTAGGTTTAGGGTTAGGGTTCAGGTACTTTGCAAAGGAGCAGGCTGCCGGATACCAAGTCGATCCAGCCGATGCTAAACTGATCTCCATGGGCCGTCATCCCATCTCACCTGGCAGCGGGAGTAAAGAGCTTCGCCTGCTACCATTTCCCCGAGGGCCCAAAGTATCTAATAATTGGGCTTTGCACAGGATAAAGGTATTTAGGGAGTTCACGTTTGTGGGGTCGCAGACACATGGAAGGCTTGTTGGCTGAAGTTTGTTCACGCCATGTGAGAATTTGATCCAACGCCACAAATGAGCGGCCGAAGTTAGTCGTCAGTCATACAGGGCTGGACAGTACGATGTGTAAACACCTTTTTTTTGTGTTTGTATGTACGCTCGTTTCTGGTCTGGTTTCCTCTCGCCTTCAGCATTTTTGACTCGCATTTTCTGTATGATGAATGCAGGAATCCGAACACGAGAGCAGCTACTGCTACTGCTGCTACTACTGCTGCTACTACTACTACTACTACTACTGCTACTACTACTACTACTACTACTACTACTACTACTACCACTACTACAACTACTCCTGCTG